AACAAAAGCCAAAATAGACAAATGGGACCTAATCAAACTCCACAGCTTCTGCATGGCAAAAGAAACAGTCACTAGAGTGAATTGGCAACCAACAGAATAGGAAAAAAGGTTTGCAGTTTACCCATCTGACAAAGGGCTGATATCCAGAATTTACAAAGAACTCAAACAGATTTACAGGAAAAAAACAAGCCTATTCAAAAGTGGGCAAAGGATATGAACAGACACTTTATGAAAGAAGACATATATGAGGCCAACAATCATATGAAAAAATGCTTATTGTCACTGGTCATCAGAGAGATGCAAATCAAAACCACATTGAGATACCATCTCACGCCAGTTAGAATGGCGATCATTAAAAAATCTGGAGACAACAGATGCTGGAGAGGATGTGGAGAAAAAGGAACACTTTTACACTGTTGGTGGGAGTGTAAATTAGTCCAATCATTGTGGAAGACAGTGTGGCGATTCCTCAAGGCCTTAGAAATAGAAATTCCATTTGACCCAGCAATCCCATTACTGGGTATATACCCAAAGGACTATAAATCGTTCTACTATAAGGACACATGCACACGAATGTTCATTGCAGCACTGTTTACAATAGCAAAGACCTGGAATCAACCCAAATGCCCATTGATGATAGACTGGTTTGGGAAAATGTGGCACATATACACCATGGAATATTATGCAGCAATCAGAAATGATGAGTTCATGTCGTTTGTAGGGACATGGATGAATCTGGAGAACATCATTCTCAGCAAACTGACATAAGAACAGAAAATGAAACACCGTATATTCTTACTCATAGGCGGGTGATGAAAGATGAGAACACATGGACAGAGAGAGGGGAGTACTAAACACTGGGGTCTACTGGGGGGAAAAGGGGAGGGCCAGTGGGAGGGGGAGGTGGGGAGGGATAGCCTGGGGAGAAATGCCAAATGTGGGTGAAGGGGAGAAAGCAAACAAAACACACTGCCATGTGTGTACCTATGCAACTGTATTGCATGCTCTGCACATGTACCCCAAAACCTAAAATGCAATAAAAAAAAAAAAAGAAAAGATAAATGTTTGAGGTGTCAGGTATCCCAGTTACCCTATTTTGATCATTACACTTTGTATACATGTATCATAATATCACATGTATACCCAAAATATGTACTACCTTTATATATTAATTTTATACACACACACACACACACACACACACACACACACACACACACATACATATGAAATATGCAAACACCAACTATGAGAAAGCTGGAGTGGCTATATTAATATCAGACCAAATATATTTTATTTTACTTTTTGAGATGGAGTCTTGCTCTGTCACCCAGGCTAGAGTGCAGTGGCACGATCATGGCTCACTGCAACCTCTACGTCCCAGGTTCAAGTGATTCTCCTGCCTCAGCCTCCCAAGTAGCTAGGACTACAGGTGTGTGCCACCATGCCTGGCTAATTTTTTTTTTTGTTTTGTTTGTTTTGAGCTGGAGTCTCCTTCTTCGCCCAGGCTGGAGTGCAATGGCATGATCTTAGCTCACTACAACTTCTGCCTCCCAGGTTCAAGCAATTCTTGTGCCTCAGCCTCCCGAGTAGTTGGGATTACAGGTGCCCGCCACCATGCCCAGCTAATTTTTTTATTTTGTGTTTCATCGTGTAGGCCAGGCTGGTCTTGAACTCCTGACCTCAAGTGATCCACCCACCTTGGCCTCCCAAAGTGTTGGGATTACAGGCGTGACCCACCATGCCCAGACTGAATTGTACACTTTAAATAGGTGAATTGTATGGTAGTGAGTAAAACTGTTAATAAAAATAAGAATACCAGTTTTATGACTAACAATTAACTGTTGGATGCAGTTTAGGTTTCTTTGCAGTTCAGTTTGTCCTTAGAGAATAAATTCCACTGAGGACATATAGTCAAAATAATGTGAGCTAAAAGTAATTTGAAGTAATTATTTTTTCTCTGTGGTTATGTTACCAACTTGATATTTAGTTATTGCATTAATTGACTTTTCCTATACTAAAACAATTATTCCAGGATTTTAGTAGCTTACAATGATAAACATTTATTTCTTGCTTAGGTTCTGAGTCCACTGCAGTGGTTCTACTCTAGGGCCCAGGTTGAGTTCAGGCCTACCTGTGTCTTCCCATCCTGGGACTTCAGTTGAAAACACAGGTCCTATATAAGATAATGTAGGTCTTGTTGAGGGCACAGGAATACAAGAGGGTTCCTAGAATTTGCAGCGACCCCCAAATCCTCTGGGTGGACTGACACACTGTCACTTTTACCCATATCTATTGGTTTTCTATAAAAGGTTAAATTACATTTTTTACTTATTTGAGTTTGTATTGACACCACCACATTCACTATCATCCAGTTCTTCCTCATCTTGCCTTATTCTGTATTTTATCTTTCCTTGTCCTCGTGAAAGTATCAGTTCCCAAGAACACTACTGTATGTATTTATTCTATTCTACAATACACACAAAATGGTTTGAAAATTAAGATAATATCACTACTAATAACTTTCTATGAAAAGTTTAATATATTTTTGAATTTCTTTTGCCTTTAGAATATGTACCACTAAGGATGCTCATTCAAAAAACTGTTCAAGTTATTTGAATTATTTTCTCTGTGTGGTTATCAAGTTGGTAGTTTTTTTCTTTTTAAAGATGGGGTCTTACTCTGTTGCCCAGGCTGGAGTACAGTAGCACAGTCATAGATTATAGCTCACTGTAACCTTGAATTCCTGGACTCTGCTTCTGCTTCTCAGCTTCCTGAGTAGCTGGGACTATAGGCACCCACTATCATGCCCACCTGATTTTTTTTTTTTCTTTTTGAGTAGAGACCAAGTCTCACTATTTTCCATGCCGGTCTTGAATTCCTGGCCTCTGGCCTCAAACAATCTTCTTGCCTCACCTACCCAAAGTGCCGGGATTACAGATTGAGCCACTGCGTCCTGCACAAGTTAGTGTTTTGTTTTGTTCTGTTTTGAGACAGATTCTCACTCTGTTGCCCAGGCTGGAGTACAGTGGCACAATCTCAGCTCACTGCAACCTCCCCCTCTCGGGATCAAGTGATTCTCTTGCCTCAGCCTCCTGAGTAGATGGGATTATGGGCACCTGCCACCGTGCCCAGCTAATTTTTGTTTTTTTGGGATGGAGTCTTGCTCTGTCGCCCAGGCTGGAATGCAGTGGTATGATCTCGATTCACTGCAACCTCTGCCTCCTGGGTTCAAGCAATTCTATGCCTCAGTCTCCCAAGTAGCTGGTATTACAGGTGCCCACCACCATGCCCAGCTAATTTCTGTATTTTTAGTAGAGACGGGGTTTCACCATCTTGGCCAGGCTGAGTCTTGAACTCCTTACCTCGTGATCTACCTGCCTCGGCCTCTCAAAGTGCTGGGATTACAGGCATCAGCCACTGCGCCCAGCCAAGTTGGTGGTTTTTTAAGAAGACAAAATACAGTTTGAATTCATACTGATATTTACAATTCAAATTAAGGATTATAAGGTTTTAAGTTTCATTATTATATCTGTATCTCCTATCTCCCATTGTGAAAATACTGATTCCCAGCAATACCAATGTACGTATTCATTTGCAACTATAATACCAGCATACACAGTATCAAGATAATAGTACCAAAAGTGTTAGCCGAGCACGGTGGCTCATGCCTGTAATCCTAGCACTTTGGGAGGCCAAAGTGGGTGGATCACCTGAGGTCAGGAGTTCAAGACCAGCCTGGCTATCATGGTGAAACTCCATCTTTAAAAAAAAAATTTTTAATTTTTTTTAAAAAGAGTGCTGATAATTATTATGATTATACTTTAATTTTTTACGATTGCTGAAAAAAATTCAAAGTATTACTGAAAACAAAGTATTATGAATTTGATAAGTAGTGCAGTTGCTAACAGGAATAATCTCAGTTATTTCAGATGCCAATGAATTTCTTTGTAAAATCATATGGAAGGTCTTGTTCAAGTTTAAAACTATACTTAATCTATACAGTTCAAAGCAAAATAACTCATAGGATAATAAATGTATGTAATAAACCAGATAATAAGTGCTCTGAGAAGTTTTGAATCTATTTGGTATTTTATCAAAGTTTTTTGGCTTATTGTAAATCATTGCATTAACTTTTTGAGTTGGAGAGAAAGGCTGATGAAATGATTGTTGTAGCTAGATTTTCTCTTTGGATTGGTAAATGTTCTGCACCAATGCCTGAAACTGAGGCTGCCAGCAGAAAGCTTAGCCGTAGCAGAGAGTAGAAGAATATGAAAAAAACTAGGGTGTGGCAAGGCAAAGAAGTTGGAGATTAAAGATGTATGTGTGCTTGAGCTAAACTCTAGTAGTGAAGTCTTCATGTTCCCAAGTTATCGGTAAGTATAACAGTAGCAAATAACCATTTTGTTGCACTAATTAAATTAGTAGTCCTGAGGATTAGTGACTGGAGAGGGATAAAGGTGATCTAATGTCTGATTTTGCTAATTATCTTGATATAATAGAATTCCTTTATATAGCATTTGGTGTGGTGGCATTGGTGAAATGCATAAGAGCAGCTTTTTAACTAGCTAATAATTATTTTGTCCTAGAGCATGTGCTTTACCATGCATTGAGTAATGAATGGTTTTATAGTGGGGTTCTATTGCCTTTTTTCTTTTCTTTTTTTGTTTTAAAGAGACAGAGTCTCTGTTGACCAGACTAGACTCAATCATCTGGGCTCAAGGGATCCACCCACGTCAGCTCTGCTGTATGGAACAACAAGCATGTGCCACTGTGCCCAGCTTATTGCTTTTTGTCTATTGCTTTTTTTAAAATCCTTATAACCTGCCTTTATCAATCTATCTCAAAATGATGTATGAATGTTATTAAGAGTGAATTTGTTTTTCTTTTTTTCTTAGGAGCAGCCACCATATCCTAGCTACAATTCTAACTATTGGAATTCTTCTGCAAGATCTAGGGCTCCTTACCCAAGTACATATCCTGTAAGACCAGAATTGCAAGGCCAGGTATGGTTTAAAAACAGAGACTTTCTGAACTTTTTCTTAATGAATAGATTTATTTTCAAAACCTGTGTAGATTTCAGAGTAGTGATGAGTATGTTTTTTTTCCTTTGTTTTAATGGGCTCCATCAATCTCATCTTAATGTTTTTAGCTCAGAGATAAATATCTAGGCAAATATTACCTATAGCTTGAGGCATAGTAAATTATTTTTCAGGACCCAGAAGCAACAAACAAAACGTACTTATTTTTGAACATTTGACTTATAGACATTTAATTTAAAATATTTTAAGCATATAAAAAGTACAAAAAATACGTACATTTTAAATCTGGCTTGCAGGGCTGGGTGTGGTGACTCACGCCTGTAATACTAGCACTTTGGGAAGCTGAGGTGGGCAGATCACCTGAGGTCAGGAGTTTGAGGACAGCCTGCCAACATGGTGAAACCCCATCTCTATTAAAAATACAAAAATTAGCTGGGCGTGGTGGCAGGCACCTGTAATCCCAGCTACTTGGGAGGCTGAGGTGGGAGAATTGCCTGAACCCAGGAGGCAGAGGTTACAGTGAGCTGAGATCACACCACTGCACTCCAGCCTGGGTGACAGAGTGAGACTCTGTCTTAAAAACAAAAACAAAAACAAAAAAAACTTCAAAAACAAACAAATCTAGCATGCAGATTTGTCATTTTTTCTTTGCCACATTTGTTTCTGATTTTCAAAAAAGAAGTAAAACAAATACAATGGAAGCCCAATGACACTTCTTTTCATTTACTGAAGTTTTATTTATTTATTTAAAATAGGCTGGAGTACAGTGGTGTAATCTCAGCTCACTACAACCTCCTCCTCACAGGTTCAGATGATTCTTCTGCCTCAGCCTCCTGAGTAGCTGGAACTACAGGCATGCACCACCAAACCCAGTAAATTTTAAGATTTTTAGTAGAGACAGGTTTCACCATGTTGACCAGGCTGGTCTCCAACTCCTGACCTCGGGTGATTTGCTGGCCTTGGCCTCCTGAAGTGCTGGGATTACAGGTGTGAGCCGTCACGCCTGGCCTAATGTTATATTTGTTATTCCATTTGTGTTTTTATGCCTTTACAATGTGTATATATATCCATAAACTTTATATACTTTTATTTAACATGTCTTTAAACTTGTTATGTGTGATTTCATACTAACAAACACACTCCTGCAGTTTGCTTCTTTTGCTCATTGTTGGTTTTCATCTTTCCATTATATACATATGGGATAAGAATTTCCCTAGGGTATGGAATTTTTGGGTTTAGGTGTGTACGTTTTCATTAGATATAGCCAATTACTCTTCAAAATGGTTGTACTAACAAAGGAGTAATTGTCATATTTGCATATTTCCATATTTTTTTCTATCTAGCCATATTTCTGCTTTTTCTGTTTGTTTGTTTGTTTTTGAGACAGGGTCTTGCTCTGTATCCCAGGCTGGCATGATGGCAGCTCACTGCAGCCTCAACCTCTTGGCCTCAAGTGATCTTCCCACTTCAGCCTCCTGAGTAGCTGGGACTACAGGTGCACACTACCATGTCCAGCTAATTTTTAAAATTTTTTGTATAGTTAAGGTTTTGCCATGTTACCCAGGCTGGTTTCCCAATCCTGGGCTCAAGAGATCTTCCCACTTCAGCTTCTCAAGTAGCTGGGACTATGGGTGTATGTCACCATGCCTTGCTAATTTGTTTGTTTTTTGCAGAAACAGGGTCTTGCTGTGTTGCCTAGGCTGATTTTAAACCTCTAGCCTCAACCTGTCTTCCCAAATTGACCTTTCAAAGCACTGGGGTTAGAGGTGTGAGCCCCTGTGCCTCACCTATAATGAACATATTTATGTGAACCTCAGGATGAGGTTGATCAGAGATAATGGAATGCAAAATAAAAGATCATGTTAGTACTTATCACAGAGTTTCATTTTACTTGTATCAGCCTCATCCTTGACTGAAATTGAGTAGTTATTATTATTGATAAACATTACATAGTTGTAGTTTGACCACATATTATAAAATCCACCCTTCAAAGTGTACAGTTCAGTGGTTTTTAGTATATTCATAAAGTTTACCCATTATCACTGTCGAATTCTGGAACATTGTCCTCACCCCAAATAGAAACCCTGTACTTAATATGTCATTACTCCCTCCCCCCAGCTCTTGGCAACCTGTAATCTACTTTTTAACTCTTAGGATTTGTCTAACCGGACATTTTATATGGAATTATACAGTATGTGGCCTTTTGTTTCTGGCTTCTGTCACTATGTAATGTTTTCAAGTTTCTCCATATTGTGAGGATATACCAAATTTCATCAATTGATAGATATTTGGGGTGTCTTTCTTTTTTTTTTCTATTGTAAGTGATGCTGCTACTACATTCATGTACAGGTTTTTTTTTTTTGAAACGGAGTTTCATTCTTGTTACCCAGGCTGGAGTGCAATGGCGCGATCTCGGCTCACCGCAACCTCCGCCTCCTGGGTTCAGGCAATTCTCCTGCCTCAGCCTCCTGAGTAGCTGGGATTACAGGCATGCGCCACTGTGCCCAGCTAAGTTTTTGTATTTTTAGTAGAGACGGGGTTTCACCATGTTGACCAGGATGGTCTCGATCTCTTGATCTCGTGATCCACCTGCCTAGGCCTCCCAAAGTGCTGGGATTACAGGCGTGAGCCACCGCGCCTGGCCTCATGTACAGGTTTTTATGTGGAAATATGTTTTTAGTTCTCTTTGGTCTATACCTAGACGTGGAATTGCTGGGTCATAGAGTAACCCTATATTTGTCAATTTGAGGAACTGGCAAACTGTTCTTCAAAGGTACTGTACCATTTTATATTCCCAGCAGCAATGTACGAGGGCTCTGATTTCTCCACATCCTTACCAATACTTGTTTTCCTTTAAAAAAAAAATTACAGCCGGCTGGGTGTGGTGGCTCATGTCTGTAATCCCAGCACTTTGGGAGGCCAAGGCAGGTACATCATGAGGTCAGGAGTTTAAGACCAGACTGGCCAACTGGTGAAACCCCATCTCTACTAAAAAATACAAAAATTAGCTGGGCATGGTGGCTCATGCCTATAATCCCAGCTACTTGGGAGGCTGAGGTAGGAGAATTGCTTGAACCAGAATCTGGGAGGCGGAGGTTGCAGTCAGCTGAGATTGCACCACTGCACTCCAGTATGGGCTACAGAGTGAGACTCCATCACAAAAAAAACCCCACAAATTATGGCCATCTTAGTGGGTGTGAAGTGATATCTCATTGTGGTTTTGATTTGCAGTTCTCTGATGACTAATGATTTGAGCATCTTTTCATGTGCTTTTAGCCATTTATATATCTTGTTTGGAGAAATGTCTATTCAGATTCTTTGGGCTGGGTGTGGTGGCTCACACCTGTAATCCCAGCACTTTGGGAGGCAGAGGTGGGCAGATCACTTGAGGCTAGAGACCAGCCTGAGGAGTTAGAGACCAACCTGGCCAACATGGTGAAACCCCATTTCTGTAGTAATACTTTGCTTAAAATACAAAAATTAGCTGGGCATGGTGGCAGGTGCCTGTAATCCCAGCTACTTGGGAGGCTGAGTAAGGAGAATTTCTTGAACCCAGGAGGTGGATGTTGCAGTGAGCCAAGATGAGACTGCACCATTGCACTCCAGCCTGGGTGACAGAGTGAGACTAGATTCTTTGACTATTTTAAAATTGGGTTGTCTTTTTATTGTTGAGTTTTAAGCATTCTTTATACATTCTAGATACAAGTTTCTTATCAAATACAGTCATTCATTGCTTAATAAGGGGGATATTTCTGAGAAATGTATCATGAGGCAATTTCGTCACTGTGCAAACATTATAGAGTGTACTTACACAAGCCTAGATGGTATAGCTTACTACATACCTAGGCTATATGGTATAGCCTATTGCTTCTAGGCTACAAACCTGTACAGCATGTTACTGTACTGAATACTGTAAGCAATTGTAACACCATGGTAAGCATCGGTGTATCTAAACACATGTAAACATAGTAAAGATACAGTAAAAATACAGATAAAAGATTCAAAATATTATGGCTGTACAGGGCACTTACCCTGAATGGAACTTGCAGGACTGGAACTTGCTCTGGGTGAGTGAATCAGTGAGTGGTGAGTGAATATGAAGGCCTGGGATGTTACTGTGCACTATTGTAGGCTTTATAAACACTGTACACTTAGTTTACCATACAGTTGTCAAACAGTACTTTTCTTTCTTCAATAAATTAACCTTAGATACTGTAACTTTTTATTTTTATTCTTTTATTTTTTTCTAACTAGAATAACCAGTTTAGGTAAGTTATTTCTTTGAGATGGGGTGTCGCTCTGTCACCCAGGATGGAGTGCAGTGTTGTGATCTCGGCTCACTGTAACCTCCACTTCCTGGGTTTAAGTGATCCTCCCGCCTCAGCCTTCATAGTAGCTGGGACTACAGGCATGTGCCACCACACCTGGCTAATTTTTGTATTTTTAGCAGAGACAGGGTTTCACTATGTTGGCCAAGCTGGTCCTGAACTCCTGACCTCAGGTGATCTGTCTTGCCTCAGTTTCCCAAAGTGCTGGGATTACAGGCATGAGCCACTGTACCTGGCCTTATAAACTTTTAAATTTTAAAACAGTTTGACTGTTTTGTAGTAATACTTTACTTAAAATACAAACACACTGTACAGTGGTATAAAAATGTTTTCTTTCTTTATATCCATATTCTGTTAAGTTTTTTCCTGTTTTTAAGTTCTTGTTTTTTTAAAAACTGTTTTGTTAAAAACGAAGGCACAAACACATTAGCATAAGCCAACCTAGGGTGAGGATCATCAATATCACTGTCTTTCACCTCCATATCTTGGGGCAATAAGACACATGGGAGTTGTCATTTCCTTTGATTATGACTTGTTCTGGAATACCTCCCAAAGGACCTCCTTGAGGCTGTTTTATGGTTAACCTTTAAAAAATGTACCATTAGAAGGAGTACACGCTAAGATAATGATAACGAATATGGTATATAGTAAATACATAAACTAGTAACATAGTCAGTTATCATCGCTAAGTATTATGTATTATATATAATTGTATGTACTATACTTATATACAACTGGCACACAGCAAGTTTGTTTACCCCAGCATCACCATAAGCAGGTGAGTAATGCATTGTGCCGTCACATATGACAGCTACACTGTCGCTAGGCAATAAAATTATTTGGCTCCATTATAGTCCTATGGGACCACTGTTATGTATGCACTCCACCACTGACTAAAACATCATTATGCAGTGCATGATTGTATATGATTTGCAAATAGTTTCTCCCATTCTGTGGGTTGTCTTTTCGCACTTTGATGGTGTCCTTTGAAGCACAAAAGCTTTTAATTTTGATGAAGTGCAATTTATATCTGTTCTTTTGTTACTCCTGCTTTTGGTGTCTTATCTAAGAAGACTTTGTCTAACCAGAGGTCATAAAGATTTATTCCAATGATTTCTTCTAAGAATTTTTTATAGTTTTAACTCTCACATTTAGGTCTATGACCCATTTTAGTTAATTTTTGCAATATGGTGTGAAATAAGGCCCAAGTTCACTGCTTTACATGTGGATAGTTATGTCTCAGCACCACCAAAACTATTCTTTCATCACTGAATTATCTTGGTACCCTTTTGTTTTTTTCAAGAAGGAGTCTCACTCTGTCTCCAAGGATGGAGTGTAGTGGTGCGATCTAGGCTCACTGCAGCCTCCACCTCCCAGGTTCAAGTGAGTCTCTTGCCTCAGCCTCCCAAGTAGCTAGGATTACAGGTGCCCACCACCATGCCCAGCTAATTTTTTTTGTATTATTAGTAGAGACGGGGTTTCACCATGTTGCACAGGCTGATCTCAATCTCCTGACCTCTGGTGATCCACCTACCTGCCTTGGACTCCCAAAGTGCTGGAATTAGAGGTGTGAGCCACCATGCCTGGCTTTGGTACCCTTCTTAAAAATCATAAATGTAAGGTTTTATTTCCAGATTCTCAGTTCTGTCCCATTGATCTATATGTCTGTCCTTAAGCCAGTACCAAACTGTTTTGATTACTATGGCTCTGAAGTAAGTTTGAAATCCAGAAGTGTGAGTCTCTTCAAAGACATGGACTCTCAATCTCTTTTTTCTTTTTCTTTTTCCATATGTTTTTGGCTATGCTAGGTCTCTTGCATTTTCATAAGAATTTTAGGATCAGCTTTTCAACTCATGCAAACAAGGCAGCTGAGATTTCCATTGAGATTGCATCATAGATCAGTTTGGAGAGTAGCATGTGTACTTATAGTTAATGTAAAAGGGAGACAACACCCCCCAAAGACATGAATTACAAGTTAATGTTAATTTTTCTGATTTTACTGATTGATCTTACTGATAAAGATTGCTTTTTCTCATGATGTTTCCCCCTTAGGTAAAAGTATTTATTACATTCATATATAGGTTCAAGAAAGATTAACTCATAATTTAGTAGTAACTTTTTTAAAGCAACAGTAATAATGTGCAAGTGTTTTTAGATACAACATACAAGTTGTTGTATTTAAAATAACCCACAGGTATCTAGATAAAACCTTTTTGGGGTGAGCGCATATGTATTTTCTGGTGAAACGTCACATGGAGATTATACATTTATCATCTTTGCTTTTGTTTTTTTTTTTTGAGTCGGAGTTTTGCTTTTGTTGCCCAGGCTGGAGTGCAATGGGACAATCTTGGCTCACTGCAACCTCTGCTTCTTGGGCTCAAGTGATTCTCCTGCCTCAGCCTCCCGAGTAGCTGGGATTACAGGCATGCACCACCATGTCCAGCTATTTTTTGTATTTTTAGTAGAGACAGGGTTTTACCATGTTGACCAGGTTGGTCTCAAACTCCCAACCTCAGGTGATCCATCCACCTCAGCCTCCCAAAGTGCTGGGATTACAGGCATGAGCCACTGTGCCCAGCCATATTTTTGTTGTTGTTTCTTGAGATAGAGTCTTGCTCCATCACCCAGTTCATTGCAGTGCCACAATCATAGCTCACTGTAACCTTGAACTCCTAGGCTCAAGTGATCCTCCTGCCTCAGCCTCCTAAGTACAGGTGTGTGCAACCATGCCCGGCTAATTTTGAAATATTTTGTAGAGATGGGGTCTCGCTATGCTGCCTAGGCTAGTCTTGGTCTTGAACTCCTGGGCTCAGGTGATCCTCCTACCTCATCATCCCAAAGTGCTGGGATTATAGGCATGAGCCACTGCACTTGGCCTAGCTTCTATCCAAAGTAGACTCCTATAATGGTACATAGATATGACTGGTTTCCTTTTAAAAACATTAAGCAGTATCATCTCTTTGCCTTCTGGCTACCTCCTTGGGTTAGCCTTGCCACATGGTCATTCTTCTATTTGGTAGGGTTTTTTTTTCTGAGACAGAGTTTCACTCTTGTTGCCCAGGCTGAAGTGCAGTGGTGTGATCTCAGCTCACTGCAGCCTCTACCTCCTGGGTTCAAGTGATCCCCCTGCCTCTACACCCAGCTAATTAATTTTTTTTTTTTTTTGGTAGAGACAAGGTCTTGCTGTTTGCCCAGGCAGGTCCCAAACTCCTGGACTCAAGCAATCCTCCTGCCTTGGCTTCCCAAAATGCTGGGACTTTTAAAGGCATGAGTCCCTGTGACTGGCCTTAACAGTAAAATTTGGCGACTGAATTAAATGTTTTTAATTAGTAGTCCTTAATCTACTTAAAGATTCCATTACTATAGAACATTTAGGTTGTTTACAATTTTGTGCGATTATAAATAATGCTGCAATGAAGAATATCATGCCTATAACTTTTTCTGTAGTTGAATAATTTCCTTAGGATTTCTACAAGTTGAATAACAGTATAAAACGTCACATAATGTTTTATTAAGTCTCCAATTTATTAAGGAGTTCTTTGTTTATGCCTGAAGACCTTCACAACCTCTTAGTATAACCAAGTGGTGGTTCATGGTCTTCTGCTCAGGGAACGCATTGCTGACTGTTTATTGCACCTCGTCCTGCATGGAATTCTTTAGTCATGGGTATCCTCATACCTAAAGTGGAAAAGATGATATACTCTTGGAGATACAGATAAGTATAGGAAAACTTGATTCTGTGTTTTTTACTGTTTTTAAAGGGTAAAGTAGAAATCAATGGAAAACATTAAGGTAATAATTGAAATTTAGCATTAAGCTTGAATCTTTTTTTTTTTTTTAAGACGGAGTCTTGCTCTGGTGCCAGGCTGGAGTACAGTGTCATGATCTTGGCTCACTGCAACCTCTGCCTCCTGGGTTCAAACGATTCTCCTGCCTTAGCCTCCTGAGTAGCTGGGACTACAGCCAGGAGCCTATGCCCAGCTACTTTTTATATTTTTAGTAGAGACAGGATTTGACCATGTTGGCTAGGATGGTCTTGATCTGACCTCATGATCTGCCTGCCTTGGCCTCCCAAAGTGCTGGGATTACAGGCATGAGCCAGTGTACTTGCCTAGCTTGAATCTTGTTTGGATTATTGAACAGAGAATTCTGGGTATGGGCAAGAGTCTGAATAAGTGATTTTAAACTACAATGAGCAATATATGAGGAGTTTGTCTCTGTTTTCTGTTGTTGGTATTATTTGGAATGATTCTGGGATACAGAGTGATGGTATAATACAAAGAACATGGACTCAAGAGTCAGATCTGGGTTCATTTCATGACCCAGCCATAGTAATACTAACAGTGATAATGCAAATAATTACCATTTTTTGAGCATATTATGTTCAGGACACTATGCTAAACCTTTTATATATGTCATCTTATTTTGACAGATAAGTCAAGATAAATTTGTGATCTTCATTTTTCTGATGGAGAAACTGAAGTTAGGGGAGGTTAAATACAAAGTCTATAGCAGAGCTAGCTATATCTCTATAGTCTTTAAAAAAATTTTTTTTAAATTTTCATATACTTTTTGTGACAGGGTCTCACTCTGTTGCCCAGGCAGGAGTGCAGTGTTACACCCATGATTCACTGCAGCCTTGGCCTCCTGGGCTCAAGCAATGCTTCCCACCTCAGCCTCCTGAATAGCTGGAACTACAGAAGTGCACCATGATGCTTGGCTAATTTTTTTTATTATTAATTTTTTTTGAAGCAGAGTTTCACTCTTGTTGCCCAGGCTGGAGTGCAACGGCACAGTCTCGGCTCACTGCAACCTCCACCTCCCGGATTCAAGCGATTCTCCTACCTCAGCCTCCTGAGTACCTGGGATTATAGGTGCCTGCCACCATGCCTGACTAATTTTTTGTATTTTTAGTAGAGATGGGGTCTCGCCATATTGGTCTCAAACTCCTGACCTCAGGCAATCCACCCACCTCGGCCTCCCAAAGTGCTGAGATTCCAGGTGTGAGCCACCACACCTGGCTAATTTTTAAATTTTTTTTTGTGGAAACCAGGTCTCACTATGTTTCCCAGGCTGGTCTCAAACTCCTGACCTCAAATGATCCCCCCACCTTGGCCTCCCAAAGTGCTGGTATTATAGGTGTGAGCCACTGTGCCTGGCCTGCATTTGTGATCAATATCTTCTCAAAGTTTTCAAGTTTAGGCATTAAGTCAGGGCATTTCTGCTCTTCTACTAATTCATCTTTTTTTCTCTCAACTTGCTTTTTTTCAGAGTTTGAATTCCTATACAAATGGAGCATATGGTCCAACATACCCCCCAGGCCCTGGGGCAAATACTGCCTCATACTCGGGGGCTTATTATGCACCTGGTTATACTCAGACCAGTTACTCCACTGAAGTTCCAAGCACTTACCGTTCACCTGGCAACAGCCCAACTCCAGTCTCTCGTTGGATCTATCCCCAGCAGGACTGTCAGACTGAAGCACCCCCTCTTAGGGGGCAGGTTCCAGGATATCCAACTTCACAGGTGAGTTGTTTTCTGTTGGGGAAAAAATGAATTCAAAGTCTCTGCCTCTTGTAAATAGTGGAAAGGCATCTGTTTGTACTAGTGCTGATTTAATAAGACACTTCTAGATTGGGGAGGCTTTTATGGTGATGCCTTTCTCACTTGTAGCAACTATTGCAGTAAGTGGACTTTGGCTGAAGATACTTTAAAGCTGTCATAATCATAAAATTTTTATACTGAAAGTAATCTTTAGAGTTGCTGCTTGAAAGTTTCCCTATCTTAGCCTTTTTTAGCACCCTGTAGGTGTGTATATTTTTTAATATTCTGTGCATGATAACTATGTTTATTTCTCTGTTCGCTTCAAGAGGAGTTCTAACATGTCTTTATTTGTGCTTCCTTTTTTTTTTTTGAGATGGCAGTTTCGCTCTTGTTACCCAGGCTGGAGTGCAATGGCACAATCTCGGCTCACTGCAACCTCCGCCTCCTGGGTTCAGGCAATTCTCCTGCCTCAGCCTCCTGAGTAGCTGGGATTACAATGCCCAGCTAATTTCTTTGTATTAGTAGAGACGGGGTTTCACCATGTTGACCATGAGATGGTCTCAATCTCTTGACCTTGTGATCCACCCACCTTGGCCTCCCAAAGTGCTGGGATTACAGGTGTGAGCCACCGCGCCCGGCCCTATTTGTGCTTCCTTATAGCATATAGGTCCATTTGTTTATAGTATCTATGGGACAGACTTAGGCTTCATCCATTAAATTTTTAGGCCTATTCCTTCTGAGTTTTATTTTCATTAAATGTATCCCTGGTATCTTTGGAACTAACTTTTTGAGGCTTGGAAAAATTACTGGAACTGATTAATTAGAGTTATGAGAGTTTGGTCCAGTAGCAGCTAATGCATACTCTGTTAAGAAGAGAGGAAGCATCTCAGAATCTGCTTATAGTAGAATATTTTTATTACAAGTTTTAAACAATGACTAGTATATTTCTTCCTCTCAATCTAGAACCCTGGAATGACCCTGCCCCATTATCCTTATGGAGATGGTAATCGTAGTGTTCCACAATCAGGACCAACTATACGACCACAAGAGGATGCATGGGCTTCTCCTGGTGCTTATGGAATGGGTGTCCGTTATCCCTGGCCTTCGTCAGCACCCTCAGCACCACCTGGCAATCTTTACATGACTGAAAATACTTCACCATGGCCTAGCAGTGGCTCTCCCCAGTCACCCTCTTCACCCCCACTCCAGCAGCCCAAGGTAGGAGACCTAAACATTTTTCCTTTGATGTGTGTGTAATTAAGAGAACATAACATTGTTTATATAGTTTCTGTATTGGTTTGTGTTAAATGGGGACTAATTGCAAAAAGTTGGTGACGGTCAGGTGCAGTGGCTCATGCCTGTAATTCCAGCACTTTGGGAGGCTGAGGCAGGCAGATCAAGAGGGCAAGAGATTGAGACCATCCTGGCCAATATGTTGAAACCCCATCTCTACTAAAAATACAAAAATTAGCTGGGCATGGTGACGCAGTCCTAGAGTCCCAGCTACTCGGGAGGATGAGGCAGAAGAATTGCTTGAACCTAGGAGGCAGAGGTTGCAGTGAGTGGAGATCCCACCACTGTACTCCAGCCTGGCGACAGAGTGAAATTACTATCTATAGCTTTACCTCAGCTCAATTTCCTTTTTTTTTTTAGTAGACTTTAGAGAAGATTTAGATTCTAAGAGACAGAAAAATACACATTTTCTCTTGTGATTCTTCTAAATGTTAAATGTAAAGACTGTGTTTGACGACTTCAAATAATCATGGACAGAAGACAAAAAAACCAATGTGAAATATCTGCAGTGTGAGCTTGTATTTAAACCAGACTTGAACATTATCACTTGTGGCTGTGTTCCTATTCAAGACCTTGCTTGAGGTTTTCATCTTTTAGAGGAAAAACTAATTCTTAAGTCACAGGATAGATTATGAGGTCCTCATGGTGATGGATCTGCCACAGGGCAGGTTCCAGCCATTGTAACTCAGAAATTCTGTGTCTTTGGTCTGACATGGCACTCCCTTTTACCTTCTTAGGACTGTGTTTTTTGCAAATGATTAAGGAGAGAGATCCAGTTTTATTGGTAGGGAATCTTTTCATGTACCTCTCTGGTCAAGTGAAAGATGTGGGCTAACAAATTTGATATTGATGGATTCCCATTAAAACAGCTTTTTTCCTCTTTTTTGCTCTCTCCAAGGATTCTTCATATCCCTATAGCCAATCAGATCAAAGCATGAATCGGCACAACTTTCCTTGCAGTGTTCATCAGTACGAATCCTCGGGGACAGTGAACAATGATGATTCAGATCTTTTGGATTCCCAGGTCCAGTATAGTGCTGAGCCTCAGCTGTATGGCAATGCCACCAGTGACCATCCCAACAATCAAGATCAAAGTAACAGTCTTCCTGAAGAATGTGTACCTTCTGATGAAAGTACTCCTCCGAGTATTAAAAAAATCATTCATGTGCTGGAAAAGGTCCAGTATCTTGAACAAGAAGTAGAAGAATTTGTAGGAAAAAAAACAGACAAAGCATACTGGCTTCTGGAAGAAATGCTAACCAAGGAACTTTTGGAACTGGATTCAGTTGAAACTGGGGGCCAGGACTCCGTACGGCAGGCCAGAAAAGAGGCTGTTTGTAAGATCCAGGCCATACTGGAAAAATTAGAAAAGAAAGGATTATGAAGTGATTTAGAACAAAGTGGAAGCCTGTTACTAACTTGACCAAAGAACACTTGATTTGGTTAATTACCCTCTTTTTGAAATGCCTGTTGATGACAAGAAGCAATACATTCCAACTTTCCTTTGATTTAAACTTGAAAAACTGGCAGAGGGATGGAATAATATTTTAGTCATGAGTTGTTTTCAGTTTTCAGACGAATGAATGTAATAGAAAACTATGGAGTTATCAGTATTGCCAAGTGGACTCACTCCTTAAGAAATTTATGGATATCTGCGAGCTGCTTCTTAACAGCAGGAGGGAAACACACTTTAAGTAACAGGCTTATCAGAAACCTACCAGATGAAACTGGATATAATCTGAGACAAACAGGATCTGTTTTTTTAAACATCTGGATATCTTGTCACATTTTTGTACATTGTGACTACTTTCAACATACACTTCATGTGTAAATTATAGCTTAGACTTTAGCCTTCTTGGACTTAGCTCTGTTTTGTTATTTGCAGTTCACAAATATAGTATTCTCTACTTCTTGGTACATTTTGTAGTAATCTGTTTAATATAATTATTCAAGAGACTATATTGACAGCCAGTATGGCAGTTCTGAAAGAATTTTTATCTTTTCACCACTTGAATATACTGTAATGTGTAGTGAGTAATTTGTTTCCCTTCTTTGTATAGATCATTAGGTTAGAGTTTTTTTTTTAACCACTTCTACTGTTCATGGTAGTAGTAGAAGGTAAATTTGGAAATGGCATTGACATAAAATGAAAATGTTTATGGACATTTTTCTTTTTTGCTTTTTTATTGTATTTGGATAAAGATCCATCTAAAAATTACCTGTTTTTTATTTTCCCAAAGTGTAATTATGTTTTCACTATTGCTGCTTCCATAGAGGGCATTGTGATAGAGAGATACAGATGAAACATTAAATGCCACAGTGAGTAGAAATAATGACTATGAAAAGTAATAAATATTATTATTTGGTAATATAATTCTCCATTTAAAATATTAGTTTCACCTATGAGCAGATTTTAGCTCTGTTTATAGTTTAAAAACAATGAGGGTAAAAGGGTATTCATGCTCAGGGAATGAATCAGCCATAGTAAGAATGGTAAATTATTATTTTCTTCATTTAAAGGTAGATTTTATGTTTATCTTTCTCTAAATTGCGTAAAATACAATTATAATAAAAAGACATTTATTACCATTATAAACAGTTATTTTAGAGCCGAATTTAAGAAAAGGATGTTGAAAGGGTCTCTGTTGGCCTTGCTTGGGTATCTCTATGCTATTATAGAAGAGACTTACGTAAGTAACTTTTCCTGTCTGAGGCGAGTACACAACATTGGTTCTTGGAAAAATAGCTGTTTCTTCATCAGATACCCAAGTTATAATTTTTCCCCCTAGACTGTCAGGCCTATGAGTAATACTAAATCTATTAGCTGTCTCCACTCATAAACAAAACCAAACCAAACCAGTACAAACATATTAGATGAGGAGAGGAAAGTAGTGAAAATACTGGCTGGGTCTTATGGTTGGGATGAGTGATTTTATAAGATAATATGGTGATATTTTATTCTAGGATTTTATTTTTGGCCTAATATAGGAGTGTTTAAAAAAGGCTTTTCTATGAAAATTAGAAATTTATACTTGAGATTAGAAATCTAGAAGGGGGAGAACCTTAAAGCTAAGTTACCAGTAAGACAATGAATAATCAGAAGAGAACACTACTCTTTTACTGACTGAGTGCCCAAGATGCCAATTTCCATGAAGTCTTGATTTATATATATGTACATGTTATGCACATATATACATATATGTGTGTGGTTTTTAACAGTTATTTTTTAAGTTTTTGAGATGATTTTAGACTTACAGAGGAGTTGTAAAAATAGTAGAGTTCTTGTATACTCTGCACCCACCTTGCCCTTATGTTAACATCTTATGTAACAATAGAACATTTGTCAAAATTAAGAAATTAACCTTAATACTATTAACTAAAGTAGAAAGTTTAAAAAGTAGAGATTTTAGTCTTTTCACTAATGTCCTTTTATTGTTCCAAGACCCAGCCTTGCATTTAGCTGTAATGTCTATGTTGTGTCCTCCAGTCTATGACTATGTATCATAACGGGATACCTGATGTTGTAATGTTATTTCCGGTGTTGTTAACCTTGATCACTCTGCTAAGGTGGTGTCTGCTAGGATTCGCTATTGTAAACTTACTGTGTTTTCCTTGTAATTATTGAATATTTGCTGGAGATACCCTGAGACTATGCAAATGTCCTGTTTCTGCTTAAACTTTTGCTCATTTTACTACCCATT